ACATTGTCCTGTAATTAGTAACTTACAAGCCTGCCCCTATCATCCCACCAGCTGACAGCAGTTTGAGAGCAGAGTCATGGTGTTTCCATCTTTCTGTGTAGTTCAGGCTCTGCGTGCCTAGAACATACACCTTTTCCCTGTCCATGAGTACGCCCCATGGGGAATGCGTATTCATCTCGAGAGATTCAGCTCCTCCATAGGGTGTGTCTATGTACTTGTGTTTCGATTCGAATGTCCTAAGTAGATTCGACCACATTCCAACCTGCCCTGGGTGATATTTCTGCATTTTCAAAAACTATTTTTTATGGAGCCTGGTACATATTAAACATAATTATAATCTAGAATTAAGAAAGCAATATCCTGAAATAGTTCCTATTTTTTTTAACTGCTGATTTAATTATCTTTGTGTATTTTCTGTCAAACTTAATGGGTATTCAGTAAATCTGAAGAAAAACTAAATTCAGTTGGGTGCTCTCTTATTAATGCTTTTATTCTCCCAAGAACTAAGGAGAAAATTAACATTCTAAATTCAAGAGGAAAAAATATATTTAAGAGATTTAAAAAATGGAAATTATACTTTTGCCTATTATTTTAATCATTGTTTATCATTGTTCCTTACTAAAATGTTAAAAATAGAAGTTAAAAAATTTGCAGTTACAGAGGGTCTTTGCTATTGAAATACTCTTTACTCCATAATAATTAAAAATAAAAAGTTAAACATAATAAAAATTGACTTTAAAAAACGACATTCTCTGAGCAGTCACTTTAATGAAAATATCTGAGATTAATTTGAAAGAGTAGCAGTTTTCTTATCACTTGATATGCAGGTAAGATCTGAATGCTTTAGATTACGAAGATGCTGTATATCCCACTTACAAAGAGGACATGCTCTGTAAAGTTGCCTAAAGCACATTTATATGGCAAACATTTACATAGGGGTCACTACATTATAGGAATCACTCTGAGCTTGCTACCAATCAGTAGTCTAAATAGTATCATTAACTCCATTTCATAGTTGAAGAAACAGAGGCATACAGATGTTGAGTAATGCTCAAGATTCTATAGTAAGTGGCAAGAGCTGGAAGTACAACCTAGGCATTCTGACCACAAAGTTCATGCCATTGTGCCACACAAGACCCAGATAATGACAAATAAGGACTCTACGTGCCCATGGGCTTACCTTGCCAATGTGATAGAAGTATGTCTTAGGGAGAAAAATGTCTCAGTCTGAGTTTAAACCATTGATTGAACAGATGATCAAGCTGCAACTTACTTTATGGCAAACAGCGTTTTATGAGTGCTCATCTATAGCAGCAATTGCTATCCCATGAAATACTATCTCTTTTAATGGTTAGAACATACAGTTAAAAACCTGCTGGGCACCTCAGCTTGCCTAGTTAATGCAACTTAGTTAATAAGTCTAACCAAAGCTCATTGTTAATGCTTGGCGGAGCCTCAAGCCTTCTTCCAGGCACTTGGTGCAAACTTCAGAGCATGCCTTTTGTTCTCACTCCCTTCTCCTTCACCAGCCCCAAATGCAGTTTGTCACCCAGCCCTGTACATTTGGCTTCCTTTGCATTCTTCACCTCCATTCTCCTCTCCATCCTCATTGGTGCAACCTTATTTTAGCTTCCAAGTCCTCTCATGGGCAATAGCCATGGTCACCCCATGGTCTGCCAGCTTCCAAGCTTTCTTCACCCATCCTGGTTCATCATCCATACAGCTGCATTAGTAGGTGAACTTTCTAAAAAGCAAATTTAATTATTCCAGTTCCCTTCTCTGCTGCCATTGTCTTCATTCTTACCCCATTGCCACCTGCCTAGGATAAAGCGCAAACTTCCCAGGATGGAATGAGAGGCTATAAATGACTGCCTCGCCTTGCACTGTCAAATATGGTAGCCCTTAGCCACAAGTACTCTGAGCATCTCAAATGTGTGGCTAGTCCAATGGAAGTGTGTTCTATGTGTAAAACATGTGCCGGATTCCAAAGACACAGCGTGAAAAAAGAACGTAAAATATCTCTTTCACGTTTTTATGTTGATGGCAGGTTGAAATGATATTTTGGATATATTGTGTTAAGCAAAATATTACTTAAGTTACCTTTTTTCTTTCCTTTTTAAAATGGGGCTACTAGAAAATTTTAAATCACATATGTGGCTTGCATCAAGATTTCTATGATTGAACTGACTAGCTGTGCTGAACTTTGGACAGCTTCCAGAATATCCCACTCTGCCTAAAATGCCCTCCCTTTTCACTTCTCCACTTCCACATCTTGCTCTGGTAAAGGTGAATTTGTCTTGAAACATTCAACTTCCCTACAAAACTCTTACTAACTTTTTTTAGTTTTGAGATGGAGTTTTGCTCTTGTTGCTCAGGCTGGAGTGGAGTGGCACGGTCTGGGCTCACTGCAACCTCCACCTCCTGGGTTCAAGCAATTCTCCTGCCTCAGCCTCTTAAGTAGCTGGAATTACAGGCATGCACCACCATGCTCAACTAATTTTGTATTTTTAGTAGACACAAGGTTTCTGCATGTTGGTCAGGCTGGTCTCAAACTCCCAACCTTAGGTGATCCACCCTCCTCTGCCTCCCATAGTGCTGGGATTACAAGTGTGAGCCACCGCTCCTGGCCAAAACTCTTACTAACTTTAACACAGTATGCGAGGGCCTTCACTGTGCAGCCACATGTGGGTGTCCAAATTTCCACAACCTACTCCTAGGGCATGTGACTATCATCACCTAATACTTACCTGGTGCTTCCCATGTGCTAAGCACTGTTCTAAGTACTTTACATTTATTCATTCAGTCCTCATAAGAGCCCCCAAAGGAAGCGTTTACTACCATTTAATCACCATAGCAATCCTATGTGGTAGGTATTATCCTCATGCCATTTCACAGATGGGGCACAGAGATGTAACCTTCCCCGTCACTCACCCAGCTCGGGAAAGTGCTCCTAGCAATTCCACCCTACTGGTTGCCTAATTTTCGGCCAGTTCTCACTGATGCCATTCCAATCTTCCCTGCCTCCTGCTTTTGTTCATGCTGAACTTTTGCTTCACTGAACTGTCACACTTCATTATCCAATACCAATTGCTTGCTACCTTAATTATTCATCATCAATTGATAAAATGTCCATGACAGGAAGGATCAAACCATATTGTTCACTGAAATATCCTCAGTGCCTCACAGATGCCTGGCACATAGTAACCAGTCAATAAATACTTATAAATTGAAAAACAAAGGTTCCAGGCCTATTGTTTTTCCTTCTAAACTATATATAGACACACAAGCAAGACATGAAAATAATAGCAATAATAATAATAGTGGCTGCCTAGTATTGGATGTCTGTTGTGACAGGTCATATGCATTTTTCTCTGATCCTCACTGCCCTGTGAGTTGGGTACCATTGTCCTCAGTCACAGATGAGAACACTCAAACCATGATGCATCTTGCTCGAGGAAAAATAGCCGCCTAGAGCCCTTGGGAGTGTACAAATCACGATTTGATCCTTTCTCTCCATTATGAGGCTCTAGGAAACATTCTCTGAAACAGAAAGCCTACTAAAACTAGTTGAAAACAGAATGGCTTCTCTCTTCACATTAAGTGCCGGAGTACTGCTTTCTTGAGTTATAAAGCTGGCCCAAAGGGACCACTGACCAGCTTGAAGTTTTCTTCTTCCTGCCCTAGGACACCAAGATATGGGAAAGCGAGGATGCTAAACACATATGCTCCTTCCACTGCTTTGTGCAGGGTTGCTCTTCGGTCATATGGTCAGTGACAGTGGAACCATGCATCTCTACTCAACTCCCCTGTCCATAGCTCCCAGCTCTGCCCCTAATTCTCCCTCTAGCCACACAAACTCTTCAGATCTGCAGGAGACCATATTTATTTGTACTTTAATAATTTAGCACTGTTTCTGCTTTCACCTAAATCTCTCCTAGGATTCAAGACTAACCACCTGCACTCTGAGGCTCTGCTTCATCAGGACTTGGTAACAGGTGCCTCCTACAATTCCTGGAAGACAGAGTCTCTAAACCACTGGTTCTCACCCTGGTTCCATGTACACGGACATGCTTAAACTATACAACATGTTGATAGCAGAGAGAGAGAATATCTTCTCTTGCTTCATATTTTCAAGGTACTTGCCCTAGTGCTGAGCATGCTTTTGTTGAGTCATTCATTTATTCAGCTAACATTTATCGTGAATGCTACCATTAGCAAATGCATTCATTAGACCGTGAATCTTGGTGAAAACCAATATAAGTTCTTCATGGTTTTTTGCTTTTAAGAACAAATACACTTATATGCAAGTAACTAAAAGATCAGGAAGAATGGCATGCTTTCTATGGAAAATGAACATACTTAGTCCTACAGTCTTCTTGAGGAAAAATGATCAAAATTTTAATGGAAGACATGACGATGAAACTGGGCCTTAAAAGTGGTGGGCTTGTGGCGACTGGCAGAGTTTCTTTATGGCCCCATTTGGTTACATCACATCCATTATTTTTTTTTAAGATTATGTATTTATGTAGATTGAATGATACCTAAACTAAATACAAAACTTGCCTATTTGCCCATTGTATGATTTTGTATGCATTTCTCAAGTTTCAGAGCATCAACTCATTTAATAAATACTAGTTAAGGGGCTAAGTGTTTAGTAATCTAGGAAATCCTAATATAAAGAAAGGAGAGTTTGTGTCTTCAAGAATTTTACAGCCTAATGAGGCACTAGTAATAGTAAGGATTAAATATGCTGAGTCCTTGCCATGTGCCAGATATTGATCTAAACTTATTTTTGAATATTAATTCATATATACCCTAAAAACAACCAATATCATTCCCAAAGTACAGATGAGGAAACTGGGTCACAGAGCAGAATGACACAGATGTTTTGATACAAACATGAAATGATTGGCACTACCATAGAGGTTTGATGCCGTAGACCAAGGGGGCCTAACGAGAGTCAGGGTTCTGAACCAACGGAACCGTGATGATTGATTGGTTTCTTTGTTCTGCTTATAGACCATGGCTAGACAGTTATTAGGAGGAAAATATTACTTCCTTCTTATCTAATGCTAACATCTTCATTATGATGGGCCAGTAAAATTTATATAAAAGTTTCACTTTTCTTAGAAACATCACATCCGGTCTTTACAAACATATTTGAAGTAGTAGATTTCTGCTCCACCAAAAGTTTAAATAATATTCAGATTTTATTGAAGGTACATAAACATTGTTTTAAACATACTTGCAAAATCATTTCAGGTATATTTTTTGTAGTATCTAAAATAATTACTTAATTCAAGTAGGTAGTCAGACATTCAATGGTAAAGAAAATCAAATGCAGTTCTGAGGATGAGCACAATTCTATTGACAGAGAGGTCTGGGCCAAGGCAGACAGCTGAGGGTAGCATTTTGGCCCTGGAGTTGACAGATGCTCTTTTCATAATATTCTGCAAGCTTTGGAGGAGGCTGTGTGGTAGAGCTACTATAAGACATGAATTTAACCCCTGTATTCAAACCTATCAAAAAACCAGCAGAGAGATAAACCATCTAATAAGGATAGAAACAGTAGGGGAAACAAATGTGACTTCCCTATCTTCAGGGCGCTCTCTGGGTGATGATAAAGAAAATCAGGGAAGTTCAGGAATTGTGGATCTAAAGTTGATTTATTAAACAGTCAGAAGATTTTTTTGCACGATATACTAGCTATAAATGCATAAAAAACCTGCAGGACTTCTCTGGAAATGTTTCTGTATTGATTTCATTGTTGTTTGAGTCAGATATGGATGTTTTCCTTTTATGCAAAATGCTGATGTGTACCAATCTGTGACTGGGTTCGTGCCTTCAGGAATTCTCTGTAGGGCATGTAAGTAACCATATTGTAACAGTTTGAAATTGGAAGAATCTCATTTTCCATTTCTTTTCACTTACTCAGCAACAAAAAACTAAAGGCCAATGACAACCCTTCTCTTTCCCACTCATCTCGTCCAGAAAGACAGAAAATACTTTAGCTAACATTTTGATACATTGTATTCGTTTTCCAGACTTTTTCAGTACTGTACTGCTCTCTCAATTCTTTCTAAAAACAAGTACTCTCTAGAGATCATTGTTTATTTACCATGAAATATTATCGTCCAAGAAGGTAATTACCAGGTGATGGTCCTAACACATCTCAAATGACATCAGTTTGCAATGTCCCATATGCAGTACTCAGCACAGGGTTAAATAAAGCAGCAGGTCAAAACAGACTTTCAGATGAAATTGATAAAGCACGTACAGCTTGTCTTTCTTTTCAAGAAAGCCTTTTGCATTTTTCTTTTAATCGTGTGCTTTTAATTTCCTGCACCTACATCAACATTTGTGGTACAGCTTTGTTGTCTCTACAGCAACTGTAAATATTTTGTAGGGAAGGCAATGCCATTGCAATCGTAATTCCAAGTCTGTAGAACACAGTTGACCCTGTCCTGGTCTTTCAAAGTCAATAGGTGAAGCTTTTGACAGAGGGGAGGTCTAAGATGGTTTGGAGTCCAGGGACTGTTCAGGACGTCTAGGCTGAGTCACACTGTATTGGATTCTGGTGAGTGAGCTGAGTCTATCCAGGCTCAAGGACATTTTGTATAGTTACTATCTCTGAGATACAAGAACACACTGGGAAAAAAATGAGAAGGAAAAAAAAACAGTATGAATAATCTGCCTATAGATTTTTAAGCAATAAAAATGTGTATATATACATACATATTAGTAATTGCTAAATACTGTAAGAGAATAACTTCATCTAATGTCATGGTAAAAAGGGAACACTGTGGCAAAAGAGTACAGGTGTAGCAAATGATCTAATTGTGACCCTCTGCATTTCACTATCTCTTGAGCTTTGCTTATTTGAATTATGGGTATCACACTGGACTGAAGGGGACACTCATTACCCCCAATAAAGGTCTGAGTACAGGTGAGGCAAAATTGTTTAGAGCATGTGCTACACTAAGTTCAAATCCCAGTTCTTCTCTTACTGTCCTTGTGACCTTGATAATGTTATTGAATCTTACTAAGATCCCTTTACTTCCTGTAAAACAGATACAACAGCCTTCACTGATTTTTTCTGGAGAGAAGTTAAAAAATCTATATTAAGTGCCAGTGCTAAAGTCTAGTACATTCATATCAAAGAACACCTTTCATTGATTTATCCTTTCTATACTTGAGACCTGATGAAATTTTCGAAAACATTATTTTTATTAAACATTAGTGTATGTTTATTTTTTGAGGTCACTGTAATTCAGAAAATACTCGCATTCACTTGTGAAAGATGCACGCACACACACACAACCATAAGTCAACAACGGGACTGAGAAAAACGCGAATCAGAGGGAATTAGTGGAATGCAGATTTGAAGACTGTACTGGCAGTGCCCAATCAGAAGGTGGAAGCCACACCAGTTTCGTAAACAGAGAATATTTAATGGGAAGAAGTGATAGCAACATAGAAAGTTGTTACTTACATAACTAAGAAGATAACACAATAAAGAAAATAAATGGGAATGAAAAACGACATGAATAAACTGCTTATAGATTTTTAAGCAATAATGTGTGAACATGTATAAGTGTGTGTGTGTATATATATATAGTATATATAAATGTATATACATATATATATATATATAGCTATTTGTTAAATATGGCAAGAGAATAACTTGAGATAATATCATTGCAAAAGGCAACACTGCAGCAAAGGAATATTGTAGAGGTACAATTTCTGAAAGCAGCTTCCATACTTAAAGATGAGGGGAAAAAGGGAAGAGGTAGGAATTATTCAAATTCGTGGGCTGCGACCCAGACCTCTGGGAAAGGGGCTGGTTTTGCAAGTGCTGGCAAACTTGCAAACAGGACTCAACTGTTTCTTCAGGAAGGAACTGCTCATGCTGGGGTGAAGAATGCTCTCGGGTGAGGGCCACAGAGACAAGGTGCCAGTGAGAAGGAAACAGGAACGAGTAAGACCCTCTCCCTCTTCCGGCCTTGCCATTTCACTCCAGTGTCCCCTCTCTCCCCCCAGCACTTCACCTCTGCCACCTCACAAAGCAGCATAAAAGAGAGTGGGGGACAGAGATTCTGTATCTGAATTCCACCTTTATTTCTGAGCATTCCTATCTAGAAAAAAAAAAAAAGAAAAGAAAAAAAGTAAAATGATGAGGCAAAAATTGTTCTCAGAAAGCCTTCCTATAATGTCTTCTTATCCTTTAAGAAAAGCTAAACTCAGGGCATCGAAGTACAGGTGGGAAAATATTCATGCCTCTAAAACAATATGATTCAGTCAAAGGAAGAAAAATAACAAAAAATTATCAGAAATGTAACACCAAATTGAGTTACAAAGTTGTTCTCAACTAAGAAAAGCATGCCACAGCTGTCTCAGAGAGGAGCCTCATTTGAGCAGTTAATCCCCCCAAAATGGTAGAGCAACACTGGGGTTGGTCTGAAATCCTACTTTACAATTCTCAAATCACTCTCAAAATAGGAATTTCTAGTTTATGAGCTTGGATGCTAAGCATATTGTATACTTTATAGTGAAGCCTATGAATGCTTTCTCCAGAGGACATTGGACACGGTTTTGATTGTCCATTACAGTCATGTGTCAAATAACAACGTTTTGGTTGAAGACCATATATATGACAGTGATCCCATAAGATTCGAAAACTGTATTTTTACTCTACCTTTTCTATATTTAGATAGGGTTAGATACACACATACTTACAATTGTGTTCTAATTGCTTGCAGTGTTCAGCACAGTACCATGCTGTACAGGTTTGTAGCCTAGGAGGAATAGGCTCCACCATAGTGCTTAGGCGTGTAGTAGGCTCTACCATCTAGGTGTGCGTAAGTATCATCTCTGACAGTGACACAGTGACAAGATTGCCTAATGACACGTTTCTGGGAATGTATCTCCATCATTAAGTGATACATGACTGTCGCAATTCTCATATCCCTGTGCCTGAGTGAGTAGCAGAAATCACCACCAACTAGAAATTTTGGACAGTTTTAGATACAAATTTTTCCATTTTTCCAATAGTAGCATGCTAGTTTTGATGTTTAGTGTCCAGTGCCCTGCAGCATCACTGCCCAGTGCTGGTGGCAGTGGAGCTCTCATTAGACACATCCTGTGTCCAATTCGGGGCATTGTCATCATGAACGAGACTCTGGCTTCTCAGCTGTCTCAATGTCTTCTCTTCTTGTTGGTTACCTGGCTTCTCAAGGAGGTATTGTTTGTCCTTCTCACTCTCTGTTGGCTTCTCCCTAGGCACAGTTTTGCACAGCCAGCCCTAGATCTCGGTGAGTCACAAGATGAGGTCAAGGTGGACATTCTGTGGATGATGGTTCCAATGCCTAAGTTAGCCAATTTCTGAGGGCTCCCACCTGACCAGGTGGAGAAGAGTGTGACTGTATCTAAAGAATGAAGGTGTTTTCAGGAGCTCTCTGTGGTTCTGCCTCAGAGTCCCAGTTGGAGGAATAACTAATAGGCTCTGTCCAGCCAGCCACCTACAAGAGTCCTGCTCTCTTCCAAGCTGTCTATTTTGTTAACCTTCAGATTGATCTAGGGAGTCCTCCCTCTTTTGCCTCCCAATGCAGCACTGCGTCCCAGCAACAAGACCTGTCACAGGGAGCAAGGTCTTCCTGGCAGAGCACTGGGTAGATTGCGCCGACTAATTCTAGTTCAGTTAAGAGCCTCACCTGCAATCCTGGGACATGTGTCCTTTCTTTGCCTAAAATTTGACATGAAGTAAATTAATATTTGAAATTAACAAACTACAATGCAGTTACTTTACGTAGGGTCAGTTTTGACTCCCTATGCCATCGAAAAATTCACATGTAAATTTTGACTCCCCCAAAACTTAACAAGTGATAGTGTACTGTTGACAGGAAGCTTTACCAAAACATAAACAATTGATTAACATGTTTTTATATTACATGCATTACATACTGTGCTATTAAAGTAAGCTAGAGAAAAGAAAATGTCATTAACAAAATCATAAAGAAGCCAAAACATATTATTCATTAAGTGGAAGAGGATCATCATAAAGGTCTTCATCCTCATTGTCTTCAGGTTGAGTAGGCTGAGGAGGAGGAGGGAGAGAAGGAGTTGTTCTTGCTATCTCAGGAATGGCAGAGGCAGGAGAGGTGGAGGAGGCAGGAGGAGAGGGAGGGAAGGCAAGAGAAGCAGGGACACTTTTTGTAACGTAACAGGAAAACATAGTAATTTCTGGCAAACGTTTTTACTTTGTCATTTCTCTAAAAATCGTTTCTATATAGTAACAATCCTTCTTCCATCATTTGCTTGTTTCAGCGCCCATATCATAGAAGGGTCTATGTTATGAAAACAGTCAAAGGCAGTCCTGAATAATTAGAACCCTTCTGCCAAATTGTCTAATGTCAATGTGCATCCCGGCACTGCTCTCCTATGTCTTCTTCCTCATTACCTGGCACTGATGCAGAAGCACTCACCTCCATTGAGCCATCTTCTGTTAATTACTCTTGAGCCATGTCTGTTAGCTCTTAAATTTCTTCAAGATCTGTATCTTGCAATCCTGGACCCTCCCTCTTTTTTGCCTGATCCACAATCTCTTTCATGATTTCCTTGATTGGCTCTGTTGTAAATCCTGTGAAGTCATGCACAACATCTGGACACAGTTTTCTCCAGCAGGAATTTATTGTTTCTCGCTCAATGGCTTTCACAGCTTTTTAAATAACAATGATGGCATCTTTCATGGTGTAATCCTTCCAGACATTCATGATATTGTCTCAATTGAGGGTTCTCTTCCATAGCCTTAACAATCTTTTCCATATAATACTATGTGGAATAAGCCTTAAATATCCTTATGGCCGGACCCAGTGGCTCACGCCTGTAATCCCAGTACTTTAGGAGGCTAAGATGGGCAGAACACCTGAGGTCAGAAGTTTGAGACCAGCCTGACCAACATGGAGAAATCCCGTGTCTACAGAAATACAAAATTAGCCAGGCATGATGGCGCATGCCTGTAATCCCAGCTACTCGGGAGGCTGAGGCAGGAGAATCACTTGAACCTGGGAGGCAGAGGCTACCGTGAGCTGAGATTGCACCATTGCACTCCAGCCTGGGCAACAAGAGCAAAACTCCGTCTCAAAAAAACAAAAACAGAAGTTCTTATGACTTCCTGATCTAGAGGGCAAATTAGAGACTTTTGGGGGGCGCATAGACAACTTTGATGCTTTTGTGGTTGAATTCATGGGGCCTTTGGTGGCCAGAGGCATTCCCCAATATCAAAATAACTTTGAAAGGAAGTTCCTTACTGGCAAGGTACTGCCTGTCTTCAGTGACAAAGCATGGATAAAAACAATACAAAAAAAATGTTCCCATTGTCCAGGCCTTCTTATTATACAATCAAAAGACTAACAGCTGGTGTTTATCTTTTCCTTTCAAGACTTGGAGGTTAGTAGCTTTATAGATAAGGGCAGTCCTGATCGTAAACCTGACTGCATTTGCACAAAACAGCAGAGTTATTCTCTTCCATCTTGCCTTAAATCCTAGTGCTCACTTCTCTTGCTTACTAATAAATGTCCCTTGTGGCATTTTTTTTCCATAAAAGGGAATTTCCATTTGCATTAAAAACCTATTCAGGCAGATACCAT